CGGACACCTGTGTCTTCACCGGAACGCACGGTTTACGAGAATCGACCGAAGCTTCAGAAATTGGCGAAGATTGGATTGGTGATTGGAAACTTGGTATTTCTTCCTTTTTTTTTTATCTTTTCTTTCGTTCCTTTCTTTTCAATGTATTTAATACGAAATATTATGAATTATCTCAAAGTATTTAGATCATTGATGATAATAAAAATATTTGGATTTGATTCGTTTTATCAAACATATTTCTAAAAATGAATTTTTAAAAATATATTATGATATATATATATATATATATATAATTTTTTCTCTTGCTCTAAGCGACGATTTTCTTTCGAGGAATATCATTTATGATAATTTTATGTAAAAAATTGAATTTATTTCTATTACAATCAATCCTTTTATAATATTCTGAAAACACAATTTTTATAGAATACAATTTAATAAACTTGGACAATATAATATTTTTATTACTGTTTTTTATTGTTTTTGTTTATATTTCCGATGCATTTTTCTAATTTATATTAATTTTTGTAGGTTTTATTTAACAATACAGATATAGCAAGGAATGAATCAAGTTATTATAGGAAAATTGAACTATTATAAAAAAATATAAATGTTTGATAACAATTGTTATTTAAAATATTGACACATGTAACAATTTGAAGTAATTTTTCAGAAAAGACATCCATGTATTGTATATGTAAGTGGAAAATAATTATATAAAAAAATTAAAAAGTAGTATTACAAACTGCTTATTAAAACAAAAACGAATAAAAAAATTATATAAAACAACTTATGTTTATTAAATATTGTTCGAAAAAAAAATAATCTTATTAAATATTAATATTGTATTTAATAAAACATTGTATTTAATAAAATATCTTTCTAAAATAATTTTAATTTCTTACTAAGAAATAATATTCTTCATATTCATATTGTTCAACCAACATTAACTCGTGTTATGTATATTTTTTTCTTTGACTTTTTCCTTCTATATCACAACATTAAATATATATTATTATATTATATTATATATTTTAGAGAATTAAAAAAAATTATATATTTAATAAAATTAAATATATAAAATGTATATTTCTTTTTTTTAATTATATGAAACATTCAAATGTATCAAGTGTTATTTTATCCAGTATTATATACATATTCAAATACTTTGCATCATTGCATAATTATAATATAATGTATAATATAAAAAAATGTTTCTTAGCTATGAAAAATATATGTTATACGATTTTATATAATTTTGCATATAATTTTAATTTTGGAATATCATTGAAATCATAACTATTTATGCAACGACATCTTTCTCAATCTTTCCTCTTAACACGTGATCTCGTTATCCATTTGTTTTCATTATAACTCGTTCGAAATAAAGATTTCGTAATCGATTCTAAATAACACTTATATACGGGAAACAATATTTTTCAGGAAATTACATTTCTGCGCGATCTTAAATTTTTTGTTGCCAATACAAACTCAAGGTCTCGATACCGTACATACCGTGTCTCGAAGTAGTCACGTGTTGCAATCGCATATGGCGAATTCGTAAACATTGCCGAAAGAAAAGAAGAAACATCTGCATGGCGAACGCTTGCATATAAAGCATTCTAAAGCTGACTCATGAAATTCCTATATATCTGATAACGATCAAAAGGATTCTAAAGACTCACGTTTCAGAGATCGAGGTTTTGCCTGCTTCCTTCTAGACATAGCAGCGTCACACTGCTGGCTGAATAGCAGTAATAAATCAGCAACAACGATTCAATCACATTTCACACTTTTCCTCTCAATTTGATCCATATATGCACTAGAAACGAGCCACACTGTGCCCAAACGTCGACAGTTTTGTTTTGAAATGCGCACTGTAGACAAAAACTGTGTAAACACGATCCGAAGTGACAATTTCACGCGAATTCGAATAAAGAAACCGTCCTCAATTACCCGCGAATCGTAACCATAGTGACGAAAAATAACATCTTCGAGAATCGAAAGATCGATTTTCATGCAATTATCGATAAATGATTCGATAATTGCAGAATCGAAAAATGAAAATATTATGACGAATAGAATAATTTTCTCACTAAGATTCGCAGATTTTTAAAACAATAGTTCAAGTACCGGAAACCACGTGGCTTCACGTGGTTCTAGACAAACGAACGTTTAAACATAACACGAACACAGAACAAACGCGCTTGGAAGACGCGCAACGAATGACACCGTACTTGATACCGCAGTGTCGTTGATGCAGAGAACCACTGAGACTCTTACTACTACGCGTGCGTCGTTTCTTACTGATAGCAGCCTGCGCAATTCTCTCTTTAATGCAGCTGAAATAAATTTATTTATGTAGAAATTACAATGCGATTGTTAATGTATTTAATCCGATAATTTTTTATAAACATCTTTTACATAAAAAAAATATTATTCATTTAGTTTGTTATTCCCTTTTAAATTGCTATTTTCTTCATTATCTTTTATTTAAATATAAAAAACTTCATAAAAGATTAATGTTAAATTAAATTAAATGCTAAAATTAAATATTAAATTAAAATAAATAATTTTTTTTATTAAAAAAAAAAAATTTAGCTATATTTGAACTAAGTTGAACTATATTGAAGTTAAGAATTAGATAATATATTCATATTACTTTCTTATTTTATGTCTAATCATTTTAAAAATTGAAAAAATATATAAAATAAAACTATTTGAAAATACAAAATTTTTTTCATTTTTCTTTAATTTTTTTTTAATTATTTTACAAGATTTTCATATTATATAAATTATATAAATTTACATTTTGTGATATTATCTTAATCGGGACATATTCTGTGTTATTACCGACAAGAAAAAAATAGCAGAATTCTACTACAAGATATTGATAAACATAATCTCATATTCTGAAATACCGATCGCACAGAAAATGTGTTTGTTTTCTACATTTAAAATAATGAATATATTAAATTTCAATTATAAAAGTTGTCAACAGATTTTAAAAATAATTTGCTTGATATATTCTTTCATTAATATTCTTATGCATTATATCATTATATATATATTATTTTTATATATATATATTTGATATATATGATTATATTCATAAATTTTTTATAATTATGAATAATAGATATATTTATATATGAGTTGAATTAGTCATAAATATAAATAAAAAAATTACGCTTATAATTTTTATTGCAGTA